ATTTCCCATTATATTTGAGCTTTCACACAACATATAAATGCCACTTCTGGAAATATAGCATAAGCTTGGCATTCATTTTTGTGTTATTTGCTGCCAGGAAAAAAAGAGTTTTCATGCCCCTACCCAGGTGCCTGGTGTGGGTGTTGCTCCTCAAGGGGACTTTCCTTTAGGAAAATTTGGTTGTAGAAAGAAATTAGAGAGATAAAACGTTGTTGCTTCTAAAATAATAAAATGGGAGCAGAACAGGATAGGAGGGAGAAGCTGTTGCAGGAGATAATGGATGCAAAAGGAACCATGGAAGAACTTGACAGTTTGGGGACAGGTTAAGAGATGAGTTAAGTATGAAAGGGGAAAGGGAAAGGGAGAGGAAAGTTGAAATGCATGGCAAGGAGGGGGAAATATAAAATGAAAAGCCTGCTGTACTTAGAGCCTCCAGATAGGAAAATTCTTCCTAAAATTGGGAGCTCAGTAAAAATACTTTCTGAGTTAATGCCAGCAATTTAACTTTAGGAAAACTGAACTGTGGAACTCCTTTCTATAAAGAAAATGCAATGGCAAGGGATTTAGCAATTTTCTAAGATTGATTTGATATCCGTAGAAAATGATGTCGGTAACTGCCAGGTGATGATGCCACAACCCCATCTCCCTTTGCCTCCATTTTGTGACTGGCTTGGCTCCTGCAACACCATTTTGTGACTGGTGGGCCTCAGTATCATTCTGCCCTCTCAAAGAGTCTCTGGGGGTAGAAATTTTGAGAACACCTGATCCATGTGAACCTATTATGGTTTAATTTGTCCACAGCTTTTGAATGTAAAACTTGTAATTCAGTATTTAGTCCATAACTACAGCATACCTGATTAGCTCTTTGTTGGCACAGGGCACAGGGCACAGGGAATGGATGAATTCATGTTAAACATTAAGCTCCAAATTCTAACTGTATGGAATAAAAGTAATTGAACATCCAGCTATGTTGAGAACTGACCTGCAACACTGAACTAATTAAAAAATAAAAGAGAGCGAATTGAACCACAGAGTTGAAATTCATGCAAACGAAGTACTGCAAATGAATAAATAAAAAACCTCAATGGCAGATATCCTCTTTCTTATAATCTCATTTGTATGTGACAGATTGCGGTAAAAGCAACCTTCTTGCCCAAAGCCAGCCAACACGCCCATCGTATGCACCCAATCATTAGTATGCCTTTCCCCCAATCTTTACATCTCCGCCCTCAAACTAGCATGTCAATAATTTTTTATAGTACAATTCCTTATCCTCAACATTTTGAATTGGCTCATAAAAATGGCTTCTGCTTGAGTGCATGTTTCTGTTTCATTTGTAATGAGTATTTTGACACTTGGGTGAATTCAACCTTTTGAGGCTGCCTAGTTAATACAGATGCCCCAGTCACCTGCCTGCTTCTTCATGGTCTCTCTCTCTGTCTTTGGCAATCCTGTACATTCTCCCCTGGGAGAAAGTTCCTCTGAGCAAAGAGCAGTGAGGTCACCTTTCTGATGAAACCAAAGTGCTCAGGGTGCTGAAAACAAACAGGAGGAGGATCTCTCCATGCTGAGTGAATAGGCAGTAAAATGGAAAATGCAGTTCTATGTAAACAAGTACAAACTGATGTATATCCAGGTGGGGTGGGGGGGTGGAACCATTGTGGCGTTTGCCCCTAGGATGTGTCAAGGACAGGGTTAAAATTGGTGTGATGTGATTGGCTAGTGAGAATGCAAGGGGGGAGTAAAAGATAGAGTGGGAGATTTTGAAAAGACGGTTGAGGTCTGGGGGTTGACGGTTGAGGTTTGGGAGTTGAGGTTTGTCAGTTGGGAGATGAGGCTTGGGTGTTGGAGAAGGAAGAGGGTGGAATAGGCAGTGGGTTGGTAGAGTCATATTGTGAGAGAGTGAGAGGAATTGTTAGGGAGTTAGATAGATAGTTGGGAATAATTCAAGTTGTAGGAACTAAGATTTAAGAAACTGACAAGAGAAAAATAAACCGAAACCACACGCTTATTCCTGCACTTAAAAATAAACTTGATTATTTGTTTATGTCAACAACTGTCTGGACTCCGTGTGTCCCCGTGAGAAGCGGGGTGGTGGCAGCGAAGAAAGCAACTGCAGTGGTGGCACAGGGTCAATAGACCATGAAACGTCCGGGGGCCCTGTGTGTGATCGCGACACAAATGTATGAAAGATGTTGACCCACCCCAATGCTTGACAGCTGGGGGGGGGGGGGAGGCCAATTCTATGCTAGGAATAGCTAGGGAATGAATTGAAAGTAAAACTGCCAATATCACAACGCCATTATACAAATGTGTGGTGCACTGCACTTGAAAAACAGTGTACAGTTTCCGCCTCATCTCAAAAAGGATGTTATAGAGCTGGCAAGGGCAACCGATATTATTGGGATGATAGAGCAACTGCTGCGTGAGAAAAAGTTACAAATTTAGGGATGTTTTGCAGGCACACCTTCAAAAAAAGCAACAACTTGGGGGATGTTTTCATTTAGAGAAAAAGAGAAGATGGAGAGACATGAAAAAGGTGTGAAGGAGCTGGATAGAAAAATGTTCTTGCTCTCTCATAACACTAGAACTCGTGGGCATCCAGTGCAGCTGAATGTTGGAAGACTCAGGACAGACAACAGAAAAAATGCCTAGTTCAACTATGGAGCTTGCTCCCCCGTAAACCACACTGATTAGCCCTGCGCTAAAGAGAGGCTTTTCCACACCTCCTTGGAGGGCAACATCCTGCTCTTATCCCAGTCCCCTGGCTTGAGGCTGCTCCCAGTAAAAACATTCTGCTGGTAGCAGGGGCAGAGCTGCATTTGGGGGCCCTGGCAGGAGCAGATGGGTGGATTCCCTAAGGCGAGGAGAAGGCTTCCTATTGGGTGGGCCAGTTTGACTGCAGTGGAGCCATTATGGAGGGTACTGCAAACAAGAAGACAAAATGTAGACACATTTAAAATTGAGAAATTTGGATTAATTGATATGTGGTTTGGGTATGTCAGCCTTTAATCCAAAGTAATTTTAATAAGAATACTTAATTCATGCCAAAGCACTCTGATCAGTCCCCAAAGCCTAAGAGATGCCTGGGAGTAGTTAGCAAGTGTGCTGGTGCTCCGAGTTTTTGAAAGTGAAATTTTACCATTCTGTACTTATGCAAATATTTCTTCTGCAAAACTTATTTATTTACAAGTGAAAGGAATCCTGAGGCCTGACACATGAGGAACAGAAAGAAAATCACCAAGCGGTATTTCAGAGAAAAGTTTGCTAAATTCCTGTTCTCTATAACAGTCCTCGTATTTCCTATGGTTAATTGTGGTGTACAGCAGAGCCAGATGGCAATTGGAAATTACAGACAGAATGAAGTATCAGAAGCAACATAATCTGGAGGACAGCCATGGAATGCTTTGCAAGGAGGCAACAATCTGGAACAAATAGCCCAGCAGCACGCAGGAAAAGGTAAACAGAATGCTTGAAGTGGCGCTGGTTGTTTGAATGAAAAGACACCCAATCCCAAGCAGATGCAACATTTATGGAAATGTCCTACATAAATCCAAGTGTGAAAACATACACACGCAAGAGAAAAAAAGGGGGGGGGAGAGAAAGAAAGAAAGAAAGAAAGAGAAGATTCAATTGGAGTCCGATTCATTGTTCTCTGAAGTCAATAATTTGGTTTCTACATTCTGGATATGCATTTACTATTCTTACTTTGAGCAAATAGAAATACAGGGATATTTTTTTAAAAAAAATGGAGCATAAAGGAATTGCCATCACAACAATCATGAAGATGTAAGTTTATTTTGATGTCCATGGATATTGGCCTTACAAGGGAATTCTTCTGTATATGAAAGGTGAATAATTTAAAACATTATCAGTGATGTTGGGGTTTTGTTTTCCATTTGAGGCAAGCATTATGATCTACGAGATTCTTCACTGGCTCAGATTAAAATCCAAATTGGAGGAACCACTCTGTTCTGCTCTACCCCATCTCCAAGGAAAGTGCCAGAAGGGGAGGAATTTGAGCAGAAGCAGACAATGGGGTAGATGAGAGGATCGGAACATATTGCACTCTCAACGAAATCTTTGGCTGTCAGATATAAAGACCCAATAATAGAAATTTATTTATGCCCACTAAAATAGAGGTGACTTTTGGAGAGAAAAAACCATGAATTGAACCTGCTGATCTACCAGCTGCTAACTGCATCCTCAGTTCACCAGCTGAGCTAAGTGATGCATCAGTACATTCCTCCACCCCTAGCTCCTGCTCGGTGCTTATAAATACTGAAATGCAGATGCTATATGGTCTTGCTGAGGGGATGAAAATCAATATGCGAAGCCTGATCTGTGCCTCAACAGAGTATCTGCATTTCAACTTGGCAAGGCCTCTCCCATCCTCCTTGGATTTAGAAATACAATGCAGACATGTGGATACTGGCTGTTCAGGAGACTTTCCAGGGTAGGATGTGCCTGATCATGTGGTAAGAGGAGAGCCAAAGACATATAACTTGTTTACAAGCAGATAAGTTTGAATATATTTTGAGGCATTTGGGTTTTATTCTGCAGATTTGGCTTGTGGTTCAAAATGGATATGCATGGGACTGGATCAGAATAATAATTTCAAAGCCATTCCCTTCCAAATGGGTTATTTAAATTCTTCAACTTTTTGCTGAGCTACATAGGAATGAATTGCAAAATCTCAAAGCTTCTATTATTCCAAAGCAGTCCCAAAAGATTTAAAAGTTGTCCCATGCCATTACTTTCATTGGTGTTGTGTGTGTGTGAACTCTGGGATTGACCGTGTCATTCTTTGTATGTCTCATCAGCAGTGTGCCCCACTAAATTCAGTTGGACTTTCTCCCAGGTGAATGTGCTGAAGAATTGGCAAAACTAAGTAAAGTTGAGGGAAGGGGCATTTCAAAAATTGCTCTTTCACACCGGCGCTAATAAACAATTGACACTATATATTAGCTAGTGTGGCAAAATAGCTCCAAAACCTCTTTTGGGGGGGATTTGCCTAAAAAAGCTCAACAACTTTTCTGTCCGGACTTTCCCTTTCTGAAATATGGCAACCCTAGGTTATTGCTCAAAATCAGTTTGCAGGCTGCAAACATTTGGGACAGTGAGGAAGGATCTTATTAAAATGTGCTCATGCCATTCAAAAATTCAAATTGCAGAGTCTCCCAAATTGTGTAATGGTAGAAAGAGGCAAGCAACTGGGATGTGTTTGAAGAGTGGGAACAGAGGTGAGGCTGATTTGTAGCCGTTTCGAAAGAAGAATGCCATGGAGTATATTTTCCTTCTGTGCTTACTCCCTCGGGAATTTCAGTGGACGAGATGAGATTATTCTCACAAGTCATTTCCACTCAATGTGCCTCAGAAGACTCTTATATGGTGGCCGTTTTTGTAGTCATCTAAGCTGTGAACAGTATTAGCCTTTGGGGGAAAATTTGTTTCAAAGAACCTGTCAGACTTTATGGATGGTGTCTCTACCTTGTTACAGAGACACCCTCCCTTTTACTATTCAGATAAAACGTGAACATGGAAAGAAAAGGTGCACATGCAGGAAAACATCTTTTGTGGAGGAGGAATACAGGTAATCAACTCCCAGACACGATCATGAATTGCCCGTTGGATGGTGGAGTGTTTGCATTTTATGGATCTGTTGGGAAGCAACTAATACACAGTAAGAGCAATTCATAGCCGCCAACCTTGGTCTGCCAGATAATGTCCAGTGCAGCCCCAAATTGGGATAAAATAAAATGCATTGAAGCTTGTTCAATCCATATGAATCACTCCAGTTTTATATCATTTTTCTAGGACTCTGCATAGAAGGGGGGAATTTGAATTCAGTTCCCTAGGACTGAGGTGCCCCACCACCTTGCCTATTTCCTGCAACCATGTTTGCACTGCCCAGAGACCGATGTAGAGCCTAGCACAATCTGTCCATGCCTCTCACCCTAGTGCTTGTGTTGCCAGTGCCACCATTAATTCTGTGATACACCTTAAATACGTTGCACACAGTTGACATTTATGCACAGTTAATTTGGGTGCTATGGAGAATAGAGAGTAGAGATGGCAACAATACAAGAAACTGGGCAGATAGTGGGGCACATTAGGAAGGAGGATGCAGTAGGCATGGGGTGTGATAGGTTGGCACCGAACCAGGCTGGCTCTTTCCCTAATTTGCATATGAAACAAACACTGTTTCTTGTAATTCTGTATACAGATACCTTCAGCATTCTACATGCTGCTTCCTGCGGCCCTCTGTCAGTGCCAGCCACAGAGGATACAGGTAAATCAACTGTTTGAGTCTAGATAATCCTGCCAGGCAAGCCTTCCAGACTTTAGTTTCATATGAGAGTCCTCAGAGTCAGAAGAGACAGGCTCATCCATATCAAAGTGTTCCTTTACAGATAATCTTATATACATATATTTTATGTAATCCAGTTTCTCTTTATTTCTAGCCCATTGTGTCCTACACCTTCAGGGTAACTAACAAAAACAATTGTTGGTAAAACAGAACAATGTACTTGATCTAAGTTTAATTAATGCTTCCCACCCTTTCCCAACATTCATGAGTTCCAAAGGCCAATCAAAAGATGTAGGCTTGGGCTGGGGATGCGTCAATGGTGTGATACTCATTGGGGATCTCTAGCTCCCATATTATTGCTGTGGTCTGAACCACTGAGCCTCTTGGGCTTGCCAACTGTAAGGTCAACAGTTCGAATCTACACGACAAATCCTAGAATCTAGACCAATCCTAAACAAACTTGGGCTGATTTGGGTTGATTGAGGATTTTCCTAGAGTGTCAGGGCTCTAGACCAGATTGAGGAGTTGGTTGAGTGGTTAGGGTTGGTTGATGAGGAGGAGGAGGTTGGGAAGGACATGCAGGCAGCTATGCTCACCCATCTTTCTCACCGCTGACTGCATGATTAATTTCAGTTTGCATTTCTTAGTCCAGAAAGTATTGATCTGATGTGTAGAGATCTTTTCTATTCTAATTGATTCAAGAGGGTTCTGGAAGCTTCTTGGTGTGAAAGAAACAAGCAGAAGGTGTGGTGTTCTGGTGTGGTGTTCTGAATGGTATGCTTAGTGTTAAGCTTTAGACTTATTATAAGTTATTGTAAGTTTAAGTCTGCTGCAACTGGATGTCTTATGGACTGTGCCAATCCTGAATGTACAGTGGTACCTCAGGTTACATACGCTTCAGGTTACATATGCTTCAGGTTACAGACTCCGCTAACCCAGAAATATTACCTCGGGTTAAGAACTTTGCTTCAGGATGAGAACAGAAATCGTGCAGCGGCAGCAGGAGGCCCCATTAGCTAAAGTGGTACTTCAGGTTAAGAACAGACCTCCAGAATGAATTAAGTTCTTAACCCGAGGTACCACTGTATTGGATTTATGACCATTATGTTCATTTGCCTTCAGTAGCAGTAAAGCTCTGCTGGATGAAATACAATTGCCCCTGGCCTGTTTTTTGGGAATCCTGCAATGTGTTTAAGTTGTTACTCTGCTCACTATGCATTGGAATCTACTCTGGATCAATACTGAGTAGAATTTCTCAGTTCTCATACTGAGAGCCAGTATGGTGTAGTGGTTAAGAGCAGTAGTCTTGTAATCTGGTGAACCGGGTTCGCATCTCCACTCCTCCACCTGCAGCTGCTGGGTGACCTTGGGCTAGTCACACTTCTGTGAAGTCTCCCAGCCTCACTCACCTCACAGAGTGTTTGTTGTAGGGGAGGAAGGGAAAGGAGAATGTTAGCCGCTTTGAGACTCCTTAGGGTAGTGATAAAGTGGGATATCAAATCCAAACTCTTCTTCTTCTAGAATTTCAATGACATAATATGGGTTTAAAGCCCTAGTAAAACGTACAGCTGTGCTATGCCTCCAGTTTGGTTTGGGGTCTGCAATGGGTCCTGGTCATCCCGGATTGGACTGGGCCCAAGACAGGATCGGTGTACGTATTTACACATGTGTGTGCACACATGGTAGGGCATAAGCACAGCCCACCTCCAGACCATTCTACGATGCTGGCTTGCGGTGTCCTGACTGTGATCCAATTCAGGCACATGAGGTGGCGACTGCCTTGGGCAGCAGGATCCACAGGCGCAGCAGATCCAGCCTCCAAGGAATCTCCCGCTGCTGCAGTGGCAGTGACAGCTGCAGCAAACTCCTTGGAGACTGGATTTGTCACCCCTAGTGCTGCTAGTCTCTTCCTACCCTTGTTCCCAATGGCATTTTGTGTTTCGCCTCAGGTGTCCCAATGTATTGGACCCAGCCTGGGTGGCATCTAGAACTGTAGAAGCTGCTCCAGGAGGCTGCCTCACTTGTGATAAACCTTACATGTACAACAATACAAACACAGCACGTAGGCTTATAGTTAGTAGAGAATATATAATGGAATAATGATATCATTCAAATTATAGAACTAAGCCCATCAAAGTTCATATGTACAATATAACAGAGTGGTAGCGAGGACCGCCAAGCCGTGTGTTCAAAATAGATGTCTAAGGACGTCTCACAATAGTCCTTCAAAAGTTTCAACGGAAGATGTCTCAAAAGCCTCAAAAGGACATGTCTCCGGAATGATACTACTGTTTTGTAATAGTCTCTGTATTAGCCAACGTGTTGTGTTTGTATTGTGATTAAACCTTACATGTAGGCAGTGAATGCGTTTCCACCACATGCTGACTGTGCTGGACAGAATGGGTGCATTCTGAGCACTGGCTAGAATCTGCATTCAACACCACCAGCATCTTGGATTCCTTGGTGGATTATATGTAGCGTGGGCAGAATTCACAAGCTTTCCTTAATCTGTCCAATGTGCCACAACAGTATAAATGAAATCTTCCCATAATGAATATATAGTCCTGTTCTTGAAAGCTGAACATTTGTAGTCCATGAAATATGCCCCAGCTCCATTGCAGGAGATATAGATCACTCTAAATCTTACGTAGACATAGCTGGGAGTAAACTGAACTCTCTGGGACTTACTTCCAAGTAAACATGCATAAATTGTATGTGTGTTTCCTTGTTGACTGGTATTTTGTTGTGGGCAAAGTTTGCAAATTGTGCATTCTGTCATTTTGACAGTAAGAAAATGCCTTCTGGTGCATACGTTTTGTACCATTTTTTAAAAGATCATTTAGATAACACAATATGGCAACCATATTGGAAGTGCATAACAGACCAGACTACCTTTTTTAAAAACACACACACAAAACGTGGTCTCCAATTTAGAGCATAACTAGGACCAAGCTACAGCTAAATTATCTGCTTAGATTACAGTGGTACCTCGGGTTAAGAACTTAATTTGTTCTGGAGATCTGTTCTTAACCTGAAACTGTTCTTAACCCGAAGCAGCACTTTAGCTAATAGGGCCTCCCGCTGCCGCTGCACAATTTCTGTTCTCATCCTGAAGCAAAGTTCTTAACCCAAGGTAATATTTCTGGGTTAGCGGAGTCTGTAACCTGAAGCATCTGTAACCCGAGGTACCACTGTATATGGATAGCTTAATCTTTCACCCAGCAATGCCACTCCTCCCAAGATACAAGCATTTGGTATCTTACAGCATACACCTCTAGCATCTTTGTGCTAAGAAGACATTCTGGCATCTTAGCAGCTTCCAGGAGAGGGGAGATGCGAGAAGAGTGTGTGCTACCTGAACACTTGAGTGTCTTGTGGTATGGGAAGCTGAATGGAAGAAGTCTAGGACTAGGGTAAAGGATAGGTGCAGTCCCCATTCAAATCTGCAGGCTTTTGCTATTGCCTTTATAGAGGCACCCAAATGCCCCCACTTTTAGTTGGCTACAGTTTTCAAAATTAATGTTTAATTCAACCAGGCAATAAGAAGAAAAAAGCCACATGCATGAAGGACCATTTGTTTTGTATTTTATTGAATTTCATTTATATTAAATTAAAAATATATTTCTGACAGATTCATGTAACAAAAAAGCAGAACAGTTTTCAAATTGTTCAGCTGGGATGATCAGTGTGGGATGAAGCTAAAGCAGGTTGCAATCTACATTTGTCCTAACAAACAGATAAAGTTTCCAAGGAACCTGGGAGGTAATACAGAAAAAGAACAATCCTAATCACACAAAGGGAAGGAAAAGAGACACTGGTTTCTCCCATAGCTTCCAAAAACAAAAGGAAAGGGAAATGATACTAAAATATATAGATAGCTAAATATTAACAAAAGTTAGTTATGTAATTTTTAACAGTGCATAATCCTTCATAGCCGAAAGATGAAAAAACTAAAGGTTAAAGTAACATTACACCACACACAATTTGTCATATCCTACTGTGTAAGCAGGTGCAGGAGGTTGAACACACCACAATAGTGCTAACACAGAATCACACAGAATGTCAGAATGAGACCTCCAATCGAACCTGCAAGGAGAGAAACAAATAGGGGGCAAATGGGAGGGGGAAGGAGAGAGGATGGAATCACAAGCCAATTACTTATATACAAATCAACCTTAAGACAATTATGTTCCAAGGAATGAGGCCCACAAAGGAAAATAAAAACTACATTATCCTTATTTACATATGCAACTAGCCATGTCTTTAACAAGCTATAAAAATACTATTCACATTTTCAAATTAACATACAGTAGTTTTGTTTTTAAATTTTTGTTTCAAAAAGGCAGCTAACTCTGAATGCATTGTGTCACATGAAATGAGGATGCAAAATCCACAATACATGGATGTATTGTGTCACTTTCCTGGAAGTTTACAAGGTGAAAGTATTTTGTTCTTTGCATTTTTAACAGTTGTACTAGGAATGGAGTGAAATAGCTAAACCCAGGATGTTCTCACAGCCCAATCCTAAGACATACTGCACTAGCAAATAATTTTGTTTAGGATGCAGCTTGGCTACAGTTCTGTCAACGAACAATGTTGCTACACTGGGAGAGATTCTTAAGAGACCAGGATTCAAATTTTTGTCTTTGTGTACACCATCCCTGGGTCCATCATCTAAAAACAGCAGAGCAAATTTGGGACTAAAGGAAGTTGACAAACTCACCACTTCTCTTTGTCAGAGTGTATCAGTTGTTAGAAACTGGTCCATAATTCAAGCTTCCTAAAAACCATGTGGCCAAATAATATTTGGAATAAAGAACTTTCAATGCTACCATAAACATGTTGTGTTTCTTGCATTTAACTAAATTTAGCTCCACTGAAACCAGTCGGACTACCAGGGCAATCCTATGCGTATCGTTGCAAAACTAAGCCCCACGGAGTTCAGTGGGGTTTACGAATAGGGAAGTGCGTATAGGATCGCAGCATTAATTGCCCCAAATCTGATCTGGGTTAGGAAGCAGATTGCGATGCATATTTATTTTAGAAAGGAAAGCAATTTCCATATTGAGTTTTATTCAATAACAAATTAAAGGCTTTTTATTAATAGGGAAAAACATGTTAAACATGTTAGAATTTTTTTTAAAATGGGCTGCAATCTTAACAGGGAGTTCCAACCTAACAAAATACAGTGCATTGCATGTGCATAAAAATTATATGCAATACATTTGCTTTTACCTTTCTCTTTATCTGCTATGAAGAACTTAAAGTTACTTTGCAAACTAGGTGAGTTTACCAGGTAGCATGGCTTAGTCACTATAGAGCTAAACAACTGAATCATTCCTTTAGAATCATAAGAGTTGGAAGGGACCCTGAGGATCATCTAGTCCAACCCCCTGCAATACAGGAATAAGCAGCTGTCCCATATGGGGATCAAACTTGCAACCTTGGCGTCATCAGACCACGCTCTAACCAACTGAGCGAGTGTGTGGATCTGGTGGCCAGAACTAGAAAAGAGGGTGAAAAAAACCAACCTGCAGGTTCATTTTGGAAAACACTCAACCCTATGGAGAGTTTCTTTTAAAAAAACAAAAACCCTCAGAAAATCAATATTTCAGCAGAGAAAAAGTTAAAGAACAGACATAATGTACATTGTACTGGCTTTGAGCTTGACCCACAGTTCTGTTAGGGTATATACTTGCATATACTTGGGTATATGCAAGTTTAGTCTCATTGAGAATTGTGGCTCACTCAGATGGGTGCAGAATGTGGCATGTGAACATGTAGATTGTTGCTGCTTGAACAGATTGAACCAGTTCCTTCCCATGTGTAGAACAGATACCCTGTCTGTACCCAAATGGCCAGTGATTTCAACTGGAATAAAAACTGTGCACACCCAAGCACTTCTTTTAACTGGATTATGCATTTCCTGCTTCCAGAGGATCATTTTGTTTCCTTGCATTCAAAGTTAGCTTACCTTTGCACAGCTGCTCAGTTTAATTATCGACCCATTTAACAGCAGTACCGTTTTATGCTACATATTTCATAGTACCTCACTTCAAAATAACGGATTACATATCTACACTTATAAAATACCATTCACAGTTTGTTACTGTGGTTATCGCCCCCAAAATGGTTTAGTCCGCTGAGAGCTTATGGATAATAATGCAAGCTGAGTTTCATGCCAGTGGAAAGGAATTGTTTTCAAACAATGGTTATTTAAATAATCCAAATGAAGGTGCTTTTTCCTTGTGAGCAGCTGAAAGGTGCATTTCAACTGGCCCACCTTTCAGTGCATCCTGTCACCCTGGATAGTACCTATTCAAATTTTGTTGTAAGGTTAGCCTCCCCTGTAAGTTAGCAAAAAGCTTGCTGTATCACCCTGATTTTCCCTCTCTCTTTTCATTGACTTTATGTTCCAGTCAGTTGCTAGGCCTAATGTTATTCATTTGCTGTAAATCCATGCCCATGAAAGCTGGTGTTTGACAAAGGACTCAGATTTGCAAGACTCTTACAGTTTTTTTAAAAAGCAAAGCATGCTTCTGCTTATCATGCTGGAAATTAATTTGAAAATTAGCAAGTTGTGTCTGCACAACAAGGAAGTTTTTTCCAGTAAGCATGAGTCCTGAATGCTTGTTCACACTTCATGGTCCCTACTCATGTTCTACTAAAAACCTCCTTAACAACCCTCAGTTACTAATGCCTATCCTACAGCTTCTACCAACACAACTAGTGCAAAAGCAAAAACAACAACAAGAAGAACAAGAACACCCTTTGTAGCTGCTTCAGCATAATGCATGCAACTGATGATTTGTATGCAAAAAAGAAAACTTGCATAAATATTATTGATCTTCTAAATACATATTGAGTGCTGAAGTCCATCTTTCTTGGTGGAGACTTTGATGCAAAGTATGAACATCCCTTGCTATATGCTTTCAGAGGCTAAGGAAACTCACAACTTAATGAAGCTATGGTTCAGGAAAGAACTTACCTCTGTGCTGTGTAAATTGATCTGACACAAGTGTCTAACACAGGTACCATCAAAGTCAATTGGTTGTTCCCTGCTAAATTTCAGCTGGTTTGCATCAAGCCCCCAGGTGATTAAAGTCAAAGATGTGCATAAGCACATTTTCTGAAGTGGTAGGCTATGTGCGCACACAATGATTACAACGATCGCACCCAGTTGCAACATGCTACCGCAACAAGATCAATAATAATTACAGCTAACCGTATAATCACTCTGTGAATGTGGGAGTGAAATGCCACTGTTTGTGCTGTAGGGAATTACTTCACAAGGGAACAAGAAAATTGAAATCTATCCCTTGCTTGTTTTTAAGTGCAAACACTGAAGGAAGTAAAAGATACAAATTGGCCTTTTACATTCTGAAGTGCTGGTGTTTCTGGCCATGGAACATCCTTGGTTTACATTTGTCCCTAATTTTTAACAGTAGATATGTTAAATATCTACTGTTAATTTTTAACAGTAGACATAACATTTTCCTTGTAAAGCTTTAAACTGAGTCATGTAAAGAAATAGCATCCAAAGAAACAACTCCAAATGCTTACTCCAACATCATTTTATTTTTCTACAACCATGTTCCTAAAGGGCTTAAACCTGAACTCTAGGCAAGGTCAAATTACTGTATTTTCCCGTGTATAAGACTAGGTGTTGTTTTTTTTTAAGCAAAAAATAGGTTTAAACTTGGGGCTTGTCTTATATATGGGTAGTGCTGAGGGGTGTTTTCTTAATTTGGAGTCCCCCAAAATAGGGGGCATCTTATACATGGGGGCATCTTATACACGGAAAAATATGGTAACTTAATTTAATTAACACAGCCACCCTTACAATCGGTCACTCTGACTTCCTTGGGAATGCTAGGCAATGCGTGAAGGATCTGTGAAGATCCTAGAAGCAGCTAAAAACATTCTCACCCAACTGTAATGCCCAGGATTCACTGAGGGAAAACCATGCCAGGTGTATATATATATATATATATATATATATATATATATATATATATGAATGATATTTGTTAATATAGGCCATTTAGCCTAGATCTATGAGAACACTAAATCTAGTTCCTTTTATTCTTGGTCTGAGTACTTGTGCTTACTAGAGAACTTTGTATGGTTCAACAGCCGATAAAGTTGGGGCAGTATTATATACAGTGGTACCTCGGGTTACATACGCTTCAGGTTACAAACTTCGCTAACCCAGAAATATTACCTCGGGTTAAGAACTTTGCTTCAGGATGAGAACAGAAATCGTGCTCTGGTGGCGCGGCAGCAGCAGGAGGCCCCATTAGCTAAAGTGGTGCTTCAGGTTAAGAACAGTTTCAGGTTAAGAACGGACCTCCGGAATGAATTAACTACTCAACCTGAGGTACCACTGTATCCCATTTACCTGTTCTATGATACCGTCAAAAGTACCTCACATACTATGGAGCCAGCACAGTTACAACATCCTAAACACATCCATGCCAGATACCAACCATTTTCAGTGTATTTTGATGCCTTGTTAAATTAATGCCTATTATAGAAACACAGTGATTTCTTGCATGCATTAGTTTTTCTTTGCTGAATACTCAACATTAGCAGCACTGGGGAGTCTGAGTTTAAGTGAAAATGAGTGAATTATAAGGGGCATTGTTTTGAAAGCAAAGAGGAACATGGAAACCATAGAACTAAATTTCCCATTCCAATATGGAGAAAATTATAAAGATGGGATTGAAAGCATCACACACATCAAGTAAACCTTGGGAATCCAAATCTACCTTCCTGTCTGCTTGCACAGTAACTCTACAGCGCTAGTAGAAAGAAATTTCTTCCGCTCTGCCCTCCTCCATGTCTTCTGAACATTTAAAGGTTTGGCTGCAGAAGGCAGATGGGGCAGATGGTGACAACAGTCATGAAATTAAAATACGCCTGCTCCTTGGGAGAAAGGCGATGGCAAACTTAGACAGTATCTTAAAAAGCAGAGACATCACCTTGCCAACAAAGGTCTGTATAGTTAAAGCCATGGTTTTCCCAGTGATGTATGGAAGTGAGAGCTGGACCATAAAGAAGGCTGATCGCCGAAGAATTGATGCTTTTGAATAATGTTGCTGGAGGAGACTCTTGAGAGTCCCATGGACTGCAAGAAGATCCAACCTCTCCATTCTGAAGGAAATCAACCCTGAGTGCTCCCTGGAAGGACAGATCCTGAAGCTGAGGCTCCAATACTTTGGCCACCTCATGAGAAGAGAAGACTCCCTGGAAAAGACCCTGATGTTGGGGAAGATAGAGGGCACAAGGAGAAGGGGATGACAGAGGATGAGATGGTTGGACAGTGTTCTCGAAGCTACAAACATGAGTCTGACCAAACTGCGGGAGGCAGTGGAAGATAGGAGTGCCTGGCGTGCTCTAGTCCATGGGGTCACGAAGAGTCGGACACGACTAAACGACTAAACAACAACGACAACAAAGCAGAGGGCTACAGAAAAGTCTTAAATGTAAATATAATTGTTGTTGTTTAGTCGTTTAGTCGTGTCCGACTCTTCATGACCCCATGGACCAGAGCAAATATAATTAAACAACACCAAATAAAGAGATACTTGCGTAGCTAAGGCACAAGGAAAACTACAACTAAAAACGTTCAGACAAGATGACTTTGCCTTTCCCCATTCCTTGACTGGGCAGAATGTTCCTCACTTCTGTTGTTTTTAACTGAGAATTTTGGAGCAATAAAGGTGATTTTTTTAAATAAATCAGCTGCTGGAAGCATGCAGCACTTTCAGCTTCAGTTTTGGCTTCTGGTTTTAATGAAGACTTTGAAAATGTAACTCGCAGTGTTTCCTTTGGGCTCTGAGCCCAAATAACAGCTGACAAGAAATTCACATCACACCTCTGTAAAGGGCAATATAAGGCAATGTATAATAATTCAGAGCGAAAAAAGCTCGCTCCCTTGGCGCATGTGCCTTTCAAGAGAGGTAACATTTCCCACAGTACCCAGAGTTCAGGCCCCTTTATCTTCAAGTCGTGACTGCTGTGTGTTTTGGCTGGTTTGCTGTGTCCCTGCTTGAAGCAAATGTCAATTATTTCCATCCTTTGTCACTTCTGGAAGTTTCCTCAGTGATATTAACTACAGGAAGGCTATGGCAGGGTATTGCCTAACTTCTATAACTTTTCCACAAATTGTGCAATATCGGTACCTGTGCGATTTCCACTGTGGCAGGGTATATTTTCTTTAATCTACAGGATGCAAAGCAGTTAGCAGTGCTAGCTACAGGGCTCTTCAACACAAACAGAAGGACGTCTGGCCTGAGGATACAGTTCTCACAGCCGAGCTGCTACCGCTGAGAAGATGAGGCTGGAAGCTTTATTTACCCTGTTGTCTTTCTTAGCAGCATGATCCCAATGAAATCACGCTACTCACAGGCTTTTTTGCATTTAAAGGGAGACATGCTGGTTATTAAAGAAGAATTTTTTTTAAAAGGTAGTGAGATGAAGATTAAACTGCACTAAGAATTCATTTTGGTCTTCTGGAACAGATCAGAGCCCATCATTTCATGCAGTTTCCCAAAGAATGATGCCTAAGAATACTTTGCCAAAGGCCGGACACGGCAGAAGCAAGCTGGGCGGAAGTGAAGTTGCCTGACCCTCTGGCGATGGCGTAAGGACAAGCATCCGTTTACTAAGCTAGAGGAAGGAAGCTATCTCTACCAAGCAAAAAATGCCCCCCCCCCAAAACAGAAAAAAGAAATGCTTCCAGCTAGTTTAAAGGTTGCTTCTCCTTTTGCAGGAAGGGGAATCAGACTGGTTGCTTAGGTAATGGCGTATAAGCAGGTAGCTTATTTGATACATTCAAAGTTTTTAAATATAGCCTTGGTGTACATGTGAGAAGAAAAGTCTGGACTAGGGATGAGGGAAAGACTTGATTCAGGAAGCACTGAAAGCCGAATCGACCAAATTTGTATTTTAGAAACAATATGCAAAGCAAACCCAGCTATCCTTCAAAACTGCACCAAATTCAAGTTTTGTGATGCAGTTTCCAACCTACCATTGTTTACAAAAATGCATATTTTAGGGGGAAGTGTAAATAAAAATGAAAATATTTAGGGAAAATGACTTGCAGAAATGATTGTATTATGGAAAAAAATGCTTTCAAAAATATGTACATTAGTCAAAACTGCATATAAAAGGCATAGCTCACCTACTATGGAACTGCACAGTAATCCAATTTTCTGGAAGGAAGTGCAGGGCTAGAATTAATCTGGTTCTGTACAAATCCCTCTTAACAGGCAACTCTACCACTGCAGTTGGTTGTGTACGTGCCAGGTGGGGATTATCAAAAGCGCAAGAAGGATGGCTCCACTGAGCCATGTTGTCATCAAAACAAATATTGGAACTATCTGGAGTACACCAAGCACAGCAACCTAGATACAGGACCTCCTGCAACCAGCATTCCATGAGAAAATTCTGCTCTACAAAGTTCAAGCTTCCAAGAGATTTTGAGTGCATTTTTGGAACTGTTTGCCGAATAATATCTGCATTTAGATGTAATGGGAGGCACACTGCAGCAATGGGAATTTCCCCAAGTTAATGAATATTAATCTAGGACTACAGCAGAACATTGACACACATTCATCAGAGTGCGGAAACCTAGACACACAAACAAGACGAAGAGGCCATGAGCTCAAAGAGAGGGAGCAAAACTGGGGGGGGGAGGGAGGGGAGAGGAACTAAAGGATTATACCATTTTATTGTAATAATGTGAAAAGCCCAATAAACCATGGATAAAAAAAGGGAAATGCTCTGAAATAATAATGAATTTTCATAAGGATTTTTTTAAAATTTAAAATCACAGACTGCTGCAAAATGTGGAGAACAATTTAAGGCTGGAAACATGGACAACTGAGAAGATTATTTGGGTTACCTGAAATATATATGAAATTCACAAATCCTTCCATTCATAGTCTGGACTGAGAACATGGCATGGAGGAAGGAGTTTTCCTTTCTGTCATTCCCAAAAGCCTGTAGAGATTTACTGTTGAACAAACTGGCATTAGGTGAATAATTGCAATCCCTTTTTTCATGTCACCACCTGGATAGGCCCTGCTAGTTCCCAAAACTTTAAAGTGGGGTAGGAGGGGAGCCACCCAGGTGTTGTGGGACTTCAGCTCCCATCCGCCTCATCCTGTGTGGCCAGGGGTCAGAGATGATGGGAGTTGCAGTCCAGCAACACCTGGAAATCCCCTTCTGCTTTAAATAGATAGAAATGGACATGCATCCCGGCACCACTGGAATAAGAGATTCAAATGAGGTCACAGCCTGGATTTCATCTCACACAATCAATCAAACTGACTTCCTTATACATGCATTTCCCAGAATTAAAAGTTAATATGCTCCATCAATTCATATTTTGAGAGAAGGTACTGCTATGGGGGGAGGAACTATTTACATTTTCTTTTACTCTGCGGGATTGTTTTCTTTATGCAGTACTTATCTTGAATTGCCAAAAGCCCTGCACATAAACAGGTTTCCATCTTTGGTTAGCCATAGGATGCCAAGATGCTTTGATGAATTTCTCTCCCCTGCCTCCCCCATTCTGTTCAAGTGCACAGGGAGGTTCTCAACTGCACAGGCTTTTACTCCTTATAGGAAGCAAATATATATTACCATTTGGCTTGTAAAGGCTTTTTACATGTGGGGAGAGCAGGATTGCATGCTATCCCTTGAATTTGCGGAGAGCTTTCCATTTATGTTCATTGAGGCAGCTCAGTCCTATTGGACCTTAGGCTCTCAATAACTTATGCTCTGTCAAATATAAACAAACACACTAACCTGCTGAGGATTCCTGAACCACCAATTTTGAAACGGGTAATCTGGGGAACTGAAGTATTGCTAACTAACAGCACACAGCTCTGCATAGGATCCAACATTTGCAAAGGAGCCAAAACCAGCAGTTACCAGGAGAAGAGCTCCCCTGTATTGCTCTTCATTGTGAAATGGTCAGACATCTATCTGTCTGGAGACTTCTATATTTGAAGACCCAGGAAAACCACCATAACTTTGCCTCAGTAATCCTATGGTATATATGGCTATACCAGTGAAATCTCCACTGATGGTAGAAAATGTTTCCTTAACACTTGCAGCATCCGTAGTGTCAAAGAATGTTCTGCTTTCATCTAGCAGGCTCCCTAAGAATGTAGGAACCACCCTACTTAGTAGGCCATCTTATTTCCAATGGTGGTAGAAGCCTCTAAGTTGGATATGAAAATAACACTTTCTCCCTGTAGTCACCTCTGGGGCAATACAACTGGTTTTCAGAACCCCCTTAAAAGCCACTCTTTACCACCTCCCTCAGTGGGTAAACTAAAACTTCTGAAATCAGTGAGCAGCCAGCACTTGAACACCAATTCTTTGCGTTCTGCACACACTGCTTTTCTGCTGTGACAAATGGGAATTTGGCCAGCACATCAAGAGAATAAACTTCACCAGGCCTGCACACATTTCTGTCCATTGTGCAATTGATTCTGACACTAAACATTGTATTATGAATGTCTCCTTCCTTCTCACTGCAGTTTGACACATATTTTGAGTAACTAAACAATATTTTTAGAGAAACTGTGTAATTGGAAATAAGTTTCATGCCTACAGTAAGCACTCCTCTATCTGGCAATTAAATGCAGATACTTGAAATTAAGCATTTTCTGGAAGAACCCAAGTTTTGTACTGCTTTAGTGGAAGGAATGAAAAAAATCTACTCTCTCAGACAAAAAATGTAATTTCCAATAACTGGGCAGACTAATACTTTACATGCAGAAATAAGACCAATCCAATGTGAAGTCAGGTCTCACTCGGCTCCATCTTTAAAGCAAAACAAACCTAGAAATATGCATTATTAGCTCAATGAGGCTCAGGTCATATTACACCACGTAGTAACTTAGTACATAATTTGTTCAATTCTGGGCAGAGAGAGATTGAACTGGTTCAGGAAGTTCAAGAACCTGTAGTCTGAAAGACAGAGAAATATATGCCTCCTGATATGGAATGCACTTTTGAGAACCAGAAATCCCCGAGTTCCTGCCTAGCAGCATCTCCTGTGCACAGACATAAAAGAGTCGACCAGGTGCAGCCACCAGAAGGCGGGCTAAGCACCATCATGTTTACTGGGACCCCCAGGGCAGTGGGAGCCAGTGTTGCTGACAGAATATATGAGAGTTGATGAGTTGGTACTCCTGCTTCCAGGGTGACCGGAATAACATGCTGGATCCCAGCGACAGGGAACAGTGGCTAGAGGGCAGTTATCACTCATCTTTAAATATACATTCATGCCATGTCTGGCTATCATCATATACCAAGGAGCCAGAAAACACAATAAACCCAAGCAAACGAACATCAAGAAGCAAAAGCAAAAGCTTCCATGGGTTTTCTCAAGACATGTCAAATGTCTATGACATTTCTTTGTGAATCACCAGTGCTTCCCAAAATGACCTCACAATCTGAGTTTGCTACTCGGACCGTACCAAGAGGCCACTGTTGGGTGACCATGGGATCTACAACGGCTTGTAGGATGATGTGCTTTCAAAATCTACCTTGGCCAGAGGATTGGGTGTGGCAAGAGCTCCCCGTGCCCTGGCTCCCTGCCCTGGTTCTTCTCTGCTCAACTTGCCTGGGGCTTTGGGCTGATAGCTGCAGAGCTATCACCTGTTCTGGACCCTGGATGTGACTGCTATGCAAGGAGTCCTGCCTTGGTCACTGAGAGCCTTTGGGGTCATTCTGTTGGTGTTTAAGAGAGGTTAGTAGGGCAGTGCTAAACCATTTTTAAAAGGCTGAGACTTTTAGCATTCCCTTCCCCCCCCACAGGTGTTTTGCCCCTTAAATTCCAGCCATAAATAAGTACTACTCTGTTGCATGATGACAGAGAGAGGCTGGAGCATCAGAGAAACATACTTTATGAGCAAATGGCTACCTATATCAAGTCAACTCCTGAAACTATGAGCTTTGTTCGTTTAGCAGAATAAACCTGAAAGCTAGCTCTTGAAATATCCCCTAACACGCTTCTCTAAAATGCTGAAGGCACCCCTTGATTTGTTCTCAGTCTAATAGGATATGTGAAGTATTTTGACTCAGCTCCCTGCCATTATTCGATGCGCTTGGTTTTAATCATTACTAAAGTGCATACAACAAAATACTATTGCCCCTCCTGCAATTTTATTCAACATATAGTGAGCCTGCAATCCATTTTCCTGGGATTAAGCCCCATTGAAATCAGTGGGGCTTACTTCTGAGTAGATAGGATTGCACTGTAAGAATGAGGGTGATCCCCCCCCGCCCCTACTAGATATTATGTCTTCAGAGCTGTATAAATAAACTCGAGCTAAAAAAAAAATCCAGTCATGAAGGGAACAAACTAAAAAAAAACTTTTTTAAAAAAATTAAAAATAGCATGTAAAAGCCAGCAGAGAATGAAGATTCGTAGATGAGAGAAAGCTTTGAAATTATTTACAGTTTTGACTGAGAATGTAATAGCCATGCACACCCGGAATTTCTAAAACCTTGCTTCGTGTTTCTTCTTTGTGCTACGAAAGCAATAAGCAGGCCTCACCACAGTCTTTGTCTGCTAGTCCAAGTCAGTCCAGCACTTCTTCCCGCAATTCCCCTGCCCTGTAATCTGCTTTCCTTTCTGAGGCAGCACCAAGGCTAGTCACTCCTTCAACAGTTTTCCTGTGAGCAGTTGCACTGATGAACAAAGTTCCAAAGACTTCACTTTGTTTTGGCATTTTCCACAGTCATCTTTTATATATATCTATATTTATATATCATTATAATAATAATTCATTTTACATTTTAAATTATTTTATTTTGCTGGTCACTTCCATATTGCTTCATTCAGATTCCAGAATACAGTTCAGGGTGAGGACAAAAATTAAAACCATAGCTTAAGTGCAAATGAATTTTCCAGTGATCTGCCATGTGCGTTTTCTTCTTTATGAATTGAAGTCTGCCTCCTGACCCTGCCTCCTTTAGAACAGGTCACCCTTAAACAAAAACAACCCCAAAACCATGAATTAAAAGAACAACAACGATGGATTTTCTCCCTCTGTCCAGTCCTCAGTATTCTCTACTTCTTCCCAACTTTAGCTGATAAACCAGAAGAAACTGAGGAGAAAATAGCTACATTTTGTATTCAAGAAGTATAAAACATCAACAGGAGGCTCTGTGCATATAAATCTTGGTTGGTGGCTTGCCCTCAAAAAATGAGATGTTGTTGTTTTCCCTATAATTTTGGCCTTTGTGTCCTGAAATCATTTTTGCTTTCAAAACATTTGTTCTCCTATTGACCTGTAGAAAACCTGTAGTGTCATGCACAGAAGCATGAAGAAGTTAGGTCTGTGCAGTTAGAAAACAGACCCCCAACTGCAGAAGTGGTGGAGAACGGGGGAACTGGCCGGAGAGTCATGTGATCTTCAGTGTGATCCCTTTGATGGATGGACAGATGGACGGACACAGTGAACAAGATGGGAATGGCAAGCTGGGTTAGCCATTTTGTTTATGTGGTAGAATATAAAGTGTTAAAGAAAGAAGTTGGATTCTCAATCTCATTACGTCATCACTCATGATATTAAAAATGTCCTTTCCTACCCTCTCTTTTCCCTCCCCCTGCCCAAAACCGCACTGCCCCCTCCAGGATTGCTCCAGTGGCTCTCAGCATTTCCTGCTGATAGAAGCTGGCACTGTTGTGACTTTCCCTGCAGCATCAAAGCTGAATTGCTACGCAGAGAACTAGTTGGACAGCAGGCAACACCGCCACCGGCTTTTACTAGTATTCATTGGCTTGTCTGACCTCCTGGCCCTGCGGGTGCACAGAAAGTGAGAAATGCCAGCCTTTCTCCCTCCCTCCCTCCCTCCCTCCCTCCCCGCTGCTTCATTCACTCTTTACTTTTCTTTCTTCCCGGCTTCCTGGAACAAATGACTTAACTGTGCCTTTCCATTTGCAGACAACCACCTGCAGGAAGAACTGGCAAGAAAAGGAGAAGAGAGGGTAAGAAGAAGGGACAGAAGAGAAGGGAGACAGAGACGGAGGAGAAAGGAGAGTGCTGGTATATGGGTCCCCCATGACTTCCACGCTTTGGGGATTACACCACTGTGTTTCGGTGTCTGTAGGGTGGAGGGGGCAGCATTGTGCCAGGCTTCAGGGAGAACTCTGAGAGGTATTCGGGGTTCTCTGCCACAATGGGCCGGATCCTTCCATTTTGTTTGTAAAAATATTTTGTGCTGTATTCCTGCAGGTAGTCCGGGTGCTGTAGGGTACTCCGTGGGGGCAGGCTGTGATTCCAGTAACCTGGGTTGTCAAACGCCTTCTTGGGTTTCTCTGGCAATGGAAGCCCGTTTTTCTTCAGGTACTCTGCATTCTCGAAGGTGCCTGTGAAGGTGTTGAGGTACAGTGGCTCATTCACATACTCATCCTCTGCTTTGGGTGGGCCATTTTGGCCGTTGTGATATTCTGGGTTGTCCAGCGCTTGAAGATCACCATTTTTCCGCCGAGAGACAAATGGGTTCTCCTCCACAGGATTCAGGTGATCTAGAAATTATAAAACCCATATGAGCCAAAGAAACAAACCACATCTGAATGGAACCTAATTTGAAACAAATTTGTTTTAATATTTCTATGTTGTCAAGCTGTACCATGATGGGTTACAAAAAAAGAAAACCAGCTGATATTAGGAAGAAACAGATGAGCATTGTGCTGGTGTTCCAAGTGGTTTAGTGGGCTGGACTTTAACAGACTTCATGAAGCAATGGATTAATATGGAAATGTCTCTAATTCCTAGCTAGAGAGAGAGAGTTGAGTCTGGGTGGGGGAATCTGTGGGCATCCATATCTTGGTTGTGCTGCCACTCCCATCAGCCCCATCCAGGATGCTCAAAGGCCAGGGATGGTGGCAGATAGTCCAGTAACATTGGGGGGGGGTACAACTTCTCATTCCCGGATTAGAGCTTCTTGGGTACGGATCTAACACCAGCTAGTCATACAACATAAAACTGCCCTGTCACTACTCTTAGGTTCAAATAACCTTAGGTTGACACAAACTGTAGCTTATTTCAGGTCAGTGAAAACAAACTGACAGGAGTAAAGTTTTGTGTGATTTTATGATATCTATCTACCTGAAAGAAAAGGCTATTGTTTACTTAATCACTATCCTCGGATCTTTATTCTCTAAGAGGATGTCTTTGGAATAAAATTTATGCACCTTTACCTCTAACATCAGAAGCTTCTCTTTGTATGCACTCAGCCAGTGCCTTTCCATAAGGAGAGAACCCTGCAGCTGTAAAGTGCAGTCCTGGGATATTAACCTGCAAGGAGGCACCTCCATTTCTCACAGAGCTGAGCCCAAAGTACGCACAGCTGATCTGAACTTTTCCAGCAGTGCTGAAAATGTCTCCTGTTTACATTGCTTATCCTCAGGGAAACAATAACCACCACTGCCATATAATGTTATCTGGCAGATTATGAAAGTGCCACTAGCACAATTAAAAAATAAACAACACCGTTACATATTACACGGGCCATAGAAAAATACAATAGCCTCAAGGAACAAACCTAGCTAACTCCACTCTCAAATATGAATATGTTGATTTAAACAGTGCAGGAAATCCCAGATTAAAATGCAGGAGGCATGCAGATGCTTAGCGAGGGAGGAACTCTTCCACAACTCTAAAATGAAATACTTCATTTTAGAGAGAGAGAGGTGACCGAAAACTATCTGAATCAAGCTATCTCTCCTGGGTTAGAGATGTTACTGTAGCATTTTGGCTCAGGACATACGTGCACACTGACCTTCAGGTCTTTTTCACACAGTACATCTTAGACAAGCCAAAAGCCTGTGGTCTGCAGAAACAAAAGTGTGACGAGGAGTGCAAGAGAACTGTGGAAACTCAGTGGGCTGTTAGTAGCATGGCTAGAAGGTTAACGACAGGGGTGAGGACAGGAGGAAGGAAGGACATCTGTAGTGAGAAAGTCTCAACGTGCTCATCCAGTTATGTTCAAAAACAAAATCTCTTTTCTGCACCAGGTTTTCTCCCTTCTTTCACATCTGTCCCTGACTATAAGTGTCAATAATCTTTAAGATTGCTCTTTAGTAGTTTTTTCAATGTTTTCAGAGTGTAAGAGGTATGATGGCAGAGTAGTTCTAGACAGAGCACATAGACTATAGCAGGTGTCAAGTAGGCACAGGTGAAGCTCACACTTAATGGATTAAGCAAGTTAATCGTTCCAGTTTTGATTTTTTACAATTCCAGATATTGAGGTTTGACCAGAGAGACTTGCATTCAAATCCCTACATAGACATGAAGCTCACTGCATGATTTTGGGCCAGTCGTGGGTGAGACTGGATCCTTCAGATAAAGATAACCTAATTTCTCATTGAAATATGATCTAAGTCACTGAAGTCTGAAGTTAAGCCCCACAGTGATTTTACCAGAAGTGGACTCTATTCTTTGGAGAAAAACAATGAATTATCAGGAGTATGTTACTTTTCTCTATATATTTTATAGCCTTGTAAATCTGCACAGGGTAACTCTAAATTTATCTAAATTTAACCTCTCCTTATCTTTTGCTAAGCTCACAATGTTATTGGGTAACTATCTCCTTCTCTTTGTGCAGCACAAATCCCTTTATTAGTATTGTCTTTGCCCTATAACTTATATCGAGGTGGAGCTCTTTAGAGAAAGAGTGGGGTTTAAACATTGATAATCAATCACCTCTGGAAGCCAAGCTGCTACGAGAAATTAGCCTTCAAAACCTTCAGATGCAGCTTAGGTCCTATTCCAAATCCAAAACCTTATGATTGCTATCACATGTATGTATCTACATACCTGTTTTGGGTTTTTCTGGCATTGGAGTCATGTATCCATCTTCATCCAGCTCGTTTCTTGGCCCCCGTTCAGGTATAAAAACTGTTGGGTCAGCGCTGTACCTCTGAGTGATGCTGTCTTCCTGTGAAAGGCTGGCCACTTGCTTCCGCAAGGTGCCATTGCAGCAAGTATCATCACAGATCTCTGCAGCACTTTGCATGATGGGAAGTTCTGGTGCTATGCTTGGCATGGCAGCTCGGTATGGCAAAGGAATTACTTGTTCGGTAGCCAAGCTGCCGTCTCTGTAGATAAACTGGTTCTGTAAGAAACATGACACGAGAGACTCATAAACGATTGTACTTGTGGGCTTTTGTGCATATAATATTACATTTTATTTTCATTTATTTGTTCAACTTGATATGTCCTTTCCCTGGTATTCCAATTAGAATAGACCTCAAGTATCACAGCACACATCTTCAAAAGAAAAAACCTTACAGAAGACCTAGTAAAATTTTGCCAAAAATTCAAAAACTGAGGGCAAAATAGAAAATTCCAGGCTGACATTCTATTAAATTCCTTTTTAATGCTATCATTTAGAACTTTCTGATCCATACATGTCAGTACTCGCCCTTGAATAATATATATATATATATATATATATAGTGTGTGCATATACTGCAAGAAATTCTGCCACTTTTTACCAAATTCATTTTGTTTTCCCTACAGTTCCTTAGATCAGTATTTCCCAACCTTGGGCCTCCAGCTGTTTTTGGACTACAACTCCCATAATCCTCAGCTAGCAAAACCAGTGGTCAGGGATGATGGGAATTGTAGTTCGGAAACAGCTGGAGGCCCAAGGTTGGGAAACACTGCCTTAGATGTTTCTCCCTAGCAGAAACCTCCCAAATCACCCAAAAAATTCCCTTTAGGTAAAACTCAGTGACAATTTAGACAGGTACATATCAGCATCACTCACAAATTTTGCTTAAGCAGTTCATATTGGCAGGAAATTCCACTTTTGCCACAGAATTTTGCTTTAGGCAAAACACTTTGGAAACACTTTTGTTCCCGGGCCTAAACCTGCAGAGTACTGGCGCCTCTTATTTTTGCTGCCTATGGCAGCCATTTTGTGCTGGTACCCAAAGCACTTTTATGACTACCAAGCCTCATTTTTTCAACAAAAAAGCACTGCAGCACAGTATCTGGTAAAGTAGCATGCATAGTTGAATTATCTTTGTTCTTTCAGAAATAAACTTTATATGGATATGGTTGAAATCTTTCATAAAAGGGTAGGGGATAACTTTCTTCTTCTTTCTTGTGGGCTTCTAGAGATTATTAATCAGTTACTCTTGCAGGAATTACCTGCTACTTTTGGAGCTCATCATCTCAAGAAATTATCATAAAACAAGATTTTCTGATGATCTTATATTGTACTTCCTGTCATTTTGTGTGTAGCTTCACCACATACTTTAAGTCTATATAAAGAGAGTGATTTTATATACAACTGTGACCTATATAGGGTCTTAGTTCTTGTAAATTTGAGAGGTGTTCTTTCTTACTTAACAGGTCGTGGGGGGGAGGTATTCTGAGAGGTGCTATTCCCTTTAGCTTATATTTGTTACAAATAAGGGATGTTTGGGTTTTTTGCAGAGGGGAGTTATTGGTGCTTGTCCATTATTTTGACCATTATTTTGTTTAATGAGGTTTATTAGTATTATATGTCCACTTCCCCCGATATTTGTTATATATTTTTTCTGTAACTGCTACAATGCCCTAATAAAGAACTTGGTACTAAAAATGCACTGGTATTGAAATTCATACCTTTTTGGATCAGTAACGCAGACTCTTGCCTCTGCGTATGTTGGAGAGAGACTGAAAAAGGGAATAATCTAAACTAGCTACTGAAAACTGCCTATCTTTCATTTCCAGCAGAAAACAAACATCTTAATACAGCGAATTTAAAATCAATTGGCATCTGTTATGTGTCACCTTCTTTTACTTATGAAGGAAGATTTTTCAAACTTCAGAGCTATTAATTATAAATTAAGACATGGGCACCTCTCCTTGGGGCATTCCAGTATCTGATAACTGATCAGAATGGAGACACACACACACACACACACACACACACACATAGAGGGCCGGCACATCCATTAGGCAGGGTAAGGCCTCTGTCTCAGGCGGCCCTATTCCCTGAGGCAGCATACCTGTGGGCACCCCACCTGCCCTGCTGCTTCCGCTGCCAGCACTGGTGCCCATTTTAGGTGAGATCTCGCCAAAATCATGTGGAATCTTGCAGATCATGCGAGACCTCATCTGAAATTGACACCAGTGCCAGCACTGCTTCTCTGCTGGCAGGGGTGGGTGGTGCAGAAAGTGGCAGCAGGGCAGGGTGGCACCTCCCATTTTGCCACAAGCGGTGCCACTCCTGCACACACCCCTAATTTAATGAGAAATGCAAGTAGCACATCCAAACTTACAGGGCTCTCCCCCCAGCAAGATACTTTTAGGCTCGAGAGTGGCTTCCTAATCCGTCTGTACTCCCTTGTTTTAAATCATAACAATTTCTGGTTATCAGGAAAGCTGAGAACGTAACTGACTAATGAATTAGCAACACCTGACAGTAAGATAAAATAGGAACTTATTCTGAAGCAGATATTAAACTCTGGTGATGTTTTATTTTGTAGAGTTCCAAGCTCTCAGTAGAATTTCCACTGAGATCAGAGAGACCACTCAGTCCCTCAAGAACATGGCAAGTTCTGGAACTAGAATTGAGGAAATGGGTGAGAGGCACGTGATGGAACTTAGAAAGAAAAGAGAAGGAATGAAATGTTTTTAAAAAGACAGACAAACCCCTAATTGATGAAGGTTGATTGGGAAATACTTACTCCTGACATAGGGGCGTAGGCAGGAGGAGGGCTGTGTCCAATTTCACTCTAATAGGAAAGAAAAATGGAATGATGGATATAGTAAGAGGTCGCATGAATGAAAAGAAGTCACATGAGCTCCATGAATCAATGAAGAAAAAACATGCACATTGGTGAGATTTACTCAAATCTCAGTCAAATTCAGCCCTTGATGCTCAGGGAAAACTCCCTAGGGAAAGGGATCCAAAAGCAGTTTTGCGTGAACTCAAGGTCTGGAGGGTTTGACTGGGAAATGGTTGAGAAAAGGCTGAAAAGATGGGAAGGCATGCAGCTTTTGTCCTCAAACCAAGAGTCACATGGAATGTCACCAACTATTGACCCACCTGATCTAAAAAGAAAGGGTTTGTTGCCCAAGAATGAAAATAAAGCAAGGACCGAATTGTCAGAATCTCTTATGTGGCAAATATTTATCAGACACACAAGCAGAACTGTCCTAAGATAGGTTCTCAAATGGCAAAAATTTTAAGTGGCATAAAAAACCTAATGTGGCAATAGTCAGGGAATATGCAACCCGACTGCTTGATACAGTTTTCAGATTTTTCTTTCAGTAAATATTTTCAGGTGTGTGTGACAGAGAGACAGAGAGAGAGAGAGAGAACAATACCACAGAACCAGACTACGTTTCCTAAGCAGCATTTAGAACGTAAAATGATTCATGTAATGGAGTATGTGGCATGAGTCCATCTTGGCGGTCTCCCCACTCTTTCTGCCATACAGTTCTCTTCAACTTCAACCCTTTTTCAGATTGGGGTTGAAATGCAAGTCGGTAGAGCATGAGACACTTAATCTCAAGGCTGTGAGTTCGAGTCCCACTTTGGCCAAAAGATTCCTGCATGGCAGGGGGTTGGACTAGATGACCCTCGTGATCACTTCCAACTCTACTATTCTATGTTTCGAGGGTCAAGAGGGCAATAAATGAAATTCTGTCGACATCCATTCAGATGCAGAAGAATGGCCCACTTTGTTTTCATTCATCACTCATTGATGTTCACCATCCTTCTAATAGTCTCTTCCTTTGTAATGATTTGATACTACTTGCATCTTTGTTCTGTACTACAGTAAACAGACTACAGGGCCAAACTAGGTGTGATGGTGGCCTCAATCAAGAAGGTAAGGTCAGTGGTAGAGTCTGGATTAAAAAGCAAAAATGAGGCATGGATGAGAAGCGGGGAACCCCCTGCCCCCGGTGGCTTATCTCTTCATTTTCTCACCCAAATATCCTTCTCAACCAGGTCATACACCAAAAGTTGACTTGTGCATGCAGAAGGTCTCTCAAAATCCGCCATCCTACTTGTGGACAAACAAACTGAGGAGGGTCATTTCACTCAGTTTCTCTGGGGAGAGGAGACATTCCCCAAGAGTTTCTCAGAGTGAGATTTACTGTTAGTAACAATAACACCAACCTACCTCACAAACAGCAGTGCTGTGAGGATGAATGATTCTAGGCGCTGCAATACACATTTTAATGAATAATACTACTGGTATTATTTTAGAAAGAAGGCAGAAAAAGATCAGGATTATTGCTGTGGGAGCAGCTTTTCCAGACAAGCAGCAACTCCTGCTATGAATTGCTCAACAAGCAGCCTGCATAAATACTTACACACCTAGTGAGCTTCCTGACAGATCTGTGAAATGCAGAGTTGTCTCAAGGAGATTTCATTTTATGAGTCTGCTAGCAGACCACTGTTTCTTAACAGTCCCACACAATAGGGTTGCATAAGTAAGCAAGTAGCAGAATAATTAGTGTCAAATTCTAATGACGTGACCCCCCCCCAAAAAAAAAGTCCTGGGGAGCCTCTCTTTAACCCTGGTATAAAGCCTTGATATAATATAAAGCCTGTGTGAGTCCTGCCAGACATAGTCCCTGCTCTCTGCCTGGCTCAGTTCCACCTGGTTTGGAACAGATTCCAACTACAAAGATGGCTGCTGATGGTGCCTAGGGTCATTCGTCGGTTTCAGGTCCTGGATAAGCCAAAACCTTAGTTTTGGCCCTGAGAACACTTAACCCTCCTGCCAGCTAGGGAAACATTTCCTTGCATTATTCATTTAAACAAATGACATATGGGGAGGGGGGAAATACTACATTTGTGAAATGCACTTGGAATACTAATGACTATGGTTTTGTTGTACCTATATATTGATGGTTTGTTTACTGTTCTCTTGTGAGCTGCTTTGGGCATAATTTTGAAGAGCAGTAGGCAAATAAACTTCAGGATGATTATTTATAAGGTGTTTGCTTCTGTGGCTTCGTTGTGCACAGAACTACCATGTAATAACTCATTTAATAACTTTTAAACAATAGCATTGTTTTTCACAAAATTCATTTCTTTCAAATTTCTAGTCTCCATTCATAAAATAAATTGAAGGCTGACTTTCAAACTCGGCTGATTGACTTTTAAGAAAGGGGGATAGGATATAGGGTACAAGCAAGCAGTAGTCTTCATTGAGAAACCTTCAGGAGTACAAGAAAATATGCACAGATTAATGCATTTGGTGTGGTCAAAAACTGAGAACTTACTCAGACTTGCAGGAAGAAAACATGGTGTAGTTTTCATGGCAAAATAAGAGTCCAGAATGCCAAAAGCTGCTTGAACATATAAGGGAGAAGTCTACCCTAGCAACCTTCTCCCTGGAATGCTAACTTTCCACATGAAAGGAGGCTTTGACACATAGATTCAGGCTCTGACAACTACAGAACGTACACTATGGAATTCAATACCATAAGGTGTAGTGCCAGACACCAACTAGGACATCTTTCAAGGGGGACTCGTGAAATCCATGGAGGACAAAGCCTTCCATGGTTACTACTACCTCTGATGGCTCTATTACCTCCAGTGACAGACAGTTGCTGAGCTCATTTTGGAAACCAATGTTAGAGTAGAAGGCCTTTGGTCCAGCAGAGCTTGCCATTTGCTCTTAATCCACCAGAAGCATTTTCAGGTGGCTCAAAGTTCTCTGTGGACTTCCTTCTTCACTGTTTGAATCGCCTTTCCGAAAGGTACCACTACTAGTTGCATAAACCTTTTGAAAACATGATGATTTGTGAGGAAATACAGTGATGGTTCCCATGCCAAATAAGAGCTGTGGGGAGGGAGGTTCTTCGTTGGGGCTGCAGTGTTAACCAGTCTTCATCCTGACTGTGCTCCCCACATCCCCATATACTTGCTATTTAAAGAAGATTCAGACAACTGCAGGGGACATATTCACCATCACAACGTTTAGTCAGTGACCTGCCAAGCTCCAAAATTACAACAAGGAATACTGTGGAACCATTTTGATAAATGGTTTCCTTTTCCCCCCTCTTAAAAACAAAATACTAAGCGGGGGGGGGGGGGAAATAAAGGGTGTTAGAGCTGCTTCAGCTTTTGTGTGTGTTTGGTCATTAAGTGATAAAAGTGCCATAGTCACAATTCCAAAAAAAGAATGCCAGGAAACAGCTGAAGCACAAATTAAATGCAACATAATTGTTTCTTAAATGTCGTTAAATTGCTTCCTAATTACAATGCAATGCCATAATTTTGGAAGCCTCAAAAATACCTGTTTGTACTTAAGATAAAAAAACAAAAAGGAGACCAGATTCCCGCCCCCGCTCCATCCACCTTCTCTTGTTTGTGAGCGTGGGTTCTGGAGGGAAAGGTGAATAATTTCTCACCAGCTAGAAAATTATGTATTGGCAGGGGAAGGGTTGGTGTTGAGTGAAGCAATAGGTTGAACCAATATTCTTGAATTACTACTATGCAATGCTTTTGACAGGCTAGGAAACAGAGGCGCTGCATGCCTGGGGTGTGTGCTCCCACAACGGCTGGTAGGAAGTGGAACCCAGTTGCCAAGGCACTGCTCCCATGTAGGAAAATCAAGACACTGAAATCCAGGGGGTGATGATTAACCTTTAGCACTGTAAACCAACAAATGATGGTGATACTAAATAGTAAAAAGAGAGCTTTGCCTGGGGCAGTGTGGGACAAGAGAATGGTGGCTGGGCACTGAAGACATCTTGCTATGGCCACTGTGAGAGCAGGTTGTTAAGGGAGATTGGGTTTCTTAAGGGAGGAAAAAGGAATAACTGTGAAGCCGTTGCTAAAGATGAACTGTTCTCCTCCAATTCTGTTCCACCTGTCCAGTTCAGAAGCCAGAGTTTGCTTGCCCTCCCCACACCCATAGTAACTTCACTGATCCTTTTCCCAGCTCTTGTATCATTTATAAAGTGCCTAAAACATTAAAGGGAAATGTAGCCATCTTAAAATCAAAGCAGCGCCTTTGCTGGCAGGCTATTATCTACAAATTTTATTTAATATCAACTTAAACTTATAATTAGCTACCTTTCCATTCTATTGAATGGGACAGGGACTTCAGTGCAAGAAGGGGAGTGAGTGTAAACAAGATGGGAGTGGGAATTGAGTGGCTGGGGGGGGGGGAATGTGTAGAGAGAAACATGTTATGGTCTGGATAGGTTATTTCCTGGTTCACACTGAGGAGCAAGGGGAAGAAACAAGGGCAGCCCATAGAACTCAATGGAGGACTGGGCACATTTGCATTAGCCCCCCCCAAAAAAAAAACAACACCTAAAATTGGTGGGGGGTTGGGTGAGAGCAAAACAGGCCAATAAGAACTGAGCATGCTCAGTATGCACAGAATGCTGACTTTTGGGTGGGTAGGAGGAAAACCTGGGGGAGGGCGAATGCAATGGAGCGGCGAGACAGAAACACGTCCCACTGCAATGTTTTATTACAGAGGCATCTTACCTACTTTGTTTTTCTGGGGTCAATAGTGTCCTACTACTGTGCTCGTATCATCAAGTTATATGTTCCTTAAATATCACTATCAGCGTCATTCATGATTCTAGTCCACAAAAGCTCATGGTGCAATAAATGTGCTAAAGGTACTGCAATATGTTTTGAGGGATTACCCTGAGGAACGTTGTTGCTTTTGTTGTTTACCATGCTGCTGTTAGGTCCATAAATGTCAATAAGATCCCCTCAGGAAGCTGCCTTCTCATACTGAGTTAAACTGTTGAGGCTCAGTATTGTCTCTACACAGACTGGCAACAGCCCTCCGGGGGGGTCTCTCCCACTCCTACCTGGAGATGTCTGGGAGTCAATCTGGGCCCTTCATGCAAAGCATATGCTCTCCCATTGAGCCCCAGCCCTTCCCAGCACATGGCTAGGCTCCTAGAATTTGGATCTCAGGGAGACTTCCGGGGAGGTGCCTCCGGTAATGGCGGAATTCCTCTGACTGGGAGGAATCTGCTCCATGGAAATCTGGGTCTGGCCGCCACGGCGAAGGCGGAGACCCATTAAAATCACAGGCGGAAGAAGCCTGTGAGCGTGGGATTCGGCGGGCACCTTTTGCGCCTCCCCCACTCGCGGGGAACCCCGGTTTTGGGGGCTCCGGAGCGACGTGGGGTGAGCAGCGCGGTGCATCGAATCGTCTGCTTCTTCCACGGAGCGAAGCCGCATAGCTGTTGCCGGAGAGCGCTGACCTTTTTCTGTGGACAATTGGACTTTAAAGTAATTACCCGTGAGTAGAGCTGAAGCGGAAGAATTGGATTTCTAAATGTTTAATTTGGTATCGTAACGGGGAGGTTCAAAACAGGAAGTCCGCCTTCCCCTTTTGTAAATAGACTGAGGCAATGAAGTTGCAAGCTGGAGTCCTGGAAAGTCTTTCGTAAAAGATTAAATTTCCATCGGTAAAGAACATTAAACCCCCTCTTGGAGGCAGAAGAAGAGAGGGGGAAGTTGTGGATTGAGTATGCCTGCGGGAGAGAGCGAAGAGATTTAAAACACCGCCGCTCTGACCCTGGAAACGGGCTGCTAGTAGGACT